TGTGAGGGCCGGAGGTCACCCACACTGCTGGCACCGCAGGGAAGGGCGATGGCTGCTGTGTGGCTTGGCTTCTTAGCCCGAGAGGCTATTACATCAGTCAGGAGCTTCCTCATGAAAGTCCAGCAAAGCAGATGGCAACAGAGCCTATGATCAAATGCTATTCTTTTTTTTTAATACATTTTTATTGATTTCAGAGAGGAAGGGAGAGGGAGAGAGAAACATCAGTGATGAGAGAGAATCATGGATCAGCTGCCTCCTGCACGCCCCACACGGGATCGAGCTCACAACCCGGGCATGTGCCCTAACCGGGAATCGAACCGTGACCTCCTGGTTTATAGGTGGACGCTCAACTGCTGAGCCACGCCGGCTGGTTCAAATGCTATTCTTGTTGCACTTACGAAAACACCAGGCCAAATTTATTAAAACTCGGCTTATACAGTGAATTGGTCTTCACTTGGCTATCTTTGATAAAATGGGGGTGATTGTAGAGAGAAAAAAAACAACAGGTTTTAATAGAAACTGTAATATATCTTTGTAGATATGAGATCCTAGTGCTGTTCGTTGATGTTTGGGTTTCCTTTCATGTGCTACGTATAAACTGGACTAGATCCTGAATTCTTCCAGTTTCCTCCAATATCTGCCCGCGACTCTCCAAACATGTTCCCCGTTGTTCCCCCACCCTTTGCCTGGGGATGACTGAAAACTAACACTATTTCTTTCTGAGCCTTGCAATTACAGACTGCAGCTAGACAACACCCTGTGCCCTTCAGAGAAACCACCACACTAGGCTACCTGGTTAAGAGGAGTATACCCTGGCCCGGCCAGTGTGGCTCAGTGGTTGAACTCTGACCTATGAACCGGGAAGTCATGGTTCGATTCCCGGTCGGGACCACATGCCTGGGTTGTAGTCTCGATCCCTAGTGGGGGGCGTGCAGGAGGCAGCCTACCAATGATTCTCTCTTATCATTACTGTTTCTCTCTGTCCTCTCCCTCCCCCTCTGAAGTCAATGAAAATATTTTTTTAAAAAGGAGTGTACCCTGAACACCAGCACTCAGTCAGAACACAGTGCTGCTGTAACGGCTGCTGAGAGGACTCCAGAGCTGAAATAAATGGTGTTAACACTGAGGACCTGCCCAACATAAAGCTCTTGGTATTTTGAAAACATTTGTTCATTTGGTTGCAAGCAACCGCTCAAAACTGAAAAATAAATGCAAAATCTTGCTAAAAAAAAGAGGAAAAAAAAAAGCACAACCCAAATCAAATCTGGGAATCCATTCATGGTGACCTGCCTTCACTTACCTGGCTTTCCCCTCTGTGCCCCGATGGTCCTTCTACTCCCACTGGTATTTGGGCCTGGTCTCTTTAACCTTCTTGTAGTTTGTCTCCTCCAGATGGCAACAGTTCCATGTTCCTGAAGCTGATGGGCATGCCAGGGTGCCAGCCCGTCCCGGACAAGGAAGACCGGAGCCCTTGCTGCTCTTCAAATGAGACAGCGAGAGA